AGGCTCCATTTGAGTCAATCGGCTGGTTGTTGAGTAATTCTTGACCTTGGCCTGGAGTCAATCGATCGATGCAGATCGGGCGGACACGTCAGTCTAGATGTGCTGTTCTTGACTGCATTGTGAGGGTATAGCTTCTGGGAAACCCTGATGTGACGGTCTATGGGAATCACCCATGTGACGGCATCCCCTTTTTGGGCCCCATGGTGGGTGGGGTCACTAGGAGCTGAATAGTTATTATTAAATATGGATTCATCAAAATAAAAAAAAACGTGTACCAATGCATTGCTGCCAAAGGAGGTTAATTCCTCTAATCAACCATCTTATCTCATCGTCCATGCTATGGGAGAATCACCTCTTTCTAAACGTTCCTCCTTTTTGATTAAGAAACTTTTTGAATCGACCATTGGGCATCTTAAAAAAATCCAAAAGTTTACTTGAGGTCAGGAGATTTGCTCATAGAAGCAGCCTCCCCTCAACAGTCTGAAAAGCTTTTGAAAACAAAATCTCTAGGAGACTACAAGTCACCATCACACCACACACAAGTTTGAACTCGTCACGTGGTGTGATATCTGAAATCGATTTGATGTCTGAGAGCGAATTTGATATTCAGATCGGCCTCTCAGGCCAAGGTGTCACTGCTGTCTGATGAATTTCAATTCGTCGAGATGGCAAGTTGATACCAACTAAACACCTTATTTTCACCTTTGGAAAACCGTCATTGTCATATTTTGTTACAGCAGGCTATTTGCGGTGTTCAGTTCGCCCATATATTCCAAATCCGCTGCGTTGCTTTAAATGCCAGCGGTTTGCCAGCGGACACTCACAAACATCCTGCCGAGGTAAAAGCTTATGTGCACAGTGTGGAATTGAAGGACACCAGAGTACTGAGTGCACCAGTACTCCAACGCTGTGTAATCTGCAACGATGCCCATCCTGCCTACTCACGGTAATGCTCTGCATGGCAGAGAGAGAGAGAGAGATTTAGCGGGTGAAAACTGTAAACAATCTATCCTATCCAGAGGCTCGATGCATGGTCAACCCAAGTGCTCCTTTAAAACAGAAGACTTTTGCAGCTGCTTTGAAGTCTACAAAGACAATTGGGTTCAAACAGATATTTCTGTTTCTCCAAATGAATCTCTCACACGCCATGCAAAATGTTTACTTATACCATCCACCCAAACACCAGAAAAGAAGAATATAAAACTGAAAACACCCCTACCTAAAACAGGGGTAATTACAAGAAACCTGGGTTCCAAAAAGGCAAGTAAGAACCCGTTAAACAAACAGAGTGAAAGCTGCTCTTTCTAAATCTAAAAAATCAGAGACTCAATCTATTAGTGAGTTCTCTGACTTTTCGGAAGAAGAGACCCACAAGGAGGTTACAAAAGAAATGTCACCTCCAAAAGAGAAGCCCCCTATTAAATTAAAAGAGGGATACCCACGCAAGGAATTCTGCCTCAAACACACAATGGATTGCAAAATAATTTAATGGAACTGTCGTGGTTTCCGCAACAACTTCTCTGATATTAAACACTTGACATCATCTACCTCCTCTCTGTGTGGTACTCCAGGAGACTCATTTGAAGCCTGGAGAGGGCATTACTTTAAAACGATTCGATCTCTACCGCAGGGATGATGATGGCCACGGCCGTGCCAGTGGAGGTGTGGCTATTGTTGTTTCAAATCACATCCCATCCTTGCCGGTACAAATCACCACTGATTTGCAAGCCGTGGCAGCCAGAATATGTATTGGAGTAACTGTCACAGTTTGTTCTATATACTTGCCACCAGATGTCAGAGTGAATGAGAATGAATTGGATACTTTGGTTGAACAGCTACCAACACCATTTCTTTTACTGGGTAACTTCAATGGTTACAATCTTATGTGGGGCAGTCCCGACATCAATTGTCGAGGCAGAGCCATTGAGAGATTTATAGGTAATCATCAACTGTATCTATTTAATACTGGAGAAGTGACATACTTCCATGCCCCATCAAGAACGTTTACTGCTATTGATCTATCATTAGCAAGTCCAAACCTGTTCTCAGCATTTACATGGGAGGTTGGATCTAATCCACTTTCTAGCGACGACTTTCCAATATTTTTAAAATATCAAGGCAGAGAAAGCTGTGAAACAGCTTGTCCACCACGCTGGAAACTAGAAAAGGCAGATTGGCCTGCATTCTCCTCTTTGGCTGAAATCACTGAGGAAATGGCCAATACTGCTGATATCAATGATGCAGTTGAAGTTGTCACTTTTACTATTATTCAGGCAGCGGAAAAAACAATGGGGAAAACATNAAGTGTTAAACACATACTTTGCAAACTGTGTTGCTTTTGACCAAAGTCGTAGACAGCATTATTGAAATGCAAGCTTTAGAGAGATATTGGGCCAGAGGCCAAATCTGCACAATATAGTGGACTTTCTGAAAGTCATTAATATGTATAGAGAAATTTGATTATTTATTTATTGTATTGTTTTATTTACTTTGTGTTGCTTATTCAAATTATTGAATATATTTTTTGTTGTTGTTTATTTATTTACTTATTTATTTATTATATTTTAGATTTTATATTTATATTACCATGTGATTTTTAATGGTTAAACAGTTATGTATTGTTTGTGTATAAATATGTTTTTCTATTTATTTTATATCTCATATTGTACTATGTGTCATGGCGCAGTATAGCCTGCATGGCTTTTGTGCCAATAAAAACCAACCAACCAACCAACTGTTTCCATGTGTCAACAATTAAGTGTTGAGATTTATTTTAGAAACTTTCCCAAACAAAGGAAGAGAGTGTTGATTTTGCGAGGATATTCGATCGTATCTTGTTTACCTGAACCGAGGGACATATAAATACCAGATGGAGCAAAATGGGTTTTTTCACATTATAATTAACTGTATAATTAACTCAAGGATCTCGCACTATTAATGCAATAAATTATTAACACTAATCGGCCGATTAATTTGTATCGGCTGTTTTCCTTATCAGTGCATCCTTAGTTACTAATATGTATAAACCTTCATATACATATTGTTGTTTGTTTATATTCACTTGTTATTGTTTGTTGTTATTTTATATAATATACAGAGGCGTACCTAGTATGAGGCAAGTATAGCACATTTAAATTTAATAATTGGTAAAATTGCCAATTATTAAATTTAAAATTCAAAATAAACCAATTCATATTAAACAATCTTGTCTGTGACTCACGTGCTCTGCAAATGAGCGAGAGGGAATGAGTGGTGCATGCAGGCGATGCACTAGCTCATTCGAATTTGACACTTCTCACGCAGTTGTTTATTTTGTTCACGTGTGATTTGTGATTCTTATTTAAATTCTCTTGAGTGAGCGAGCATTAAAAAGAATCCTTCACTGTATCAAATTTTTTGCTTCTCAAAATCTTGCATTACAAGATTACAGAGTCACTCACTNCATGCAGGCGATGCACTAGCTCATTCGAATTTGACACTTCTCACGCAGTTGTTTATTATGTTTACATGTGATTTGTGATTCTGATTTAAATACTCCCGAGCGAGCGAGCATTAAAAAGAATTCTTCACTGTATCAAATTTTTTGCTTTTCAAAATCTTGCATTACAAGATCACAGAGTCACTCACTACATGCAATGGAACCGAATCCAGCAATGTCTCGTTGACTCCTTTAATGCCACCACAAAATGCAGTTGCAGCTACGTGAGAATGTTTCCACCTAATACATCCTATTCGTTTAAATTAAATTGTATTGATATTTAAGTTTTTTTTATATGCAACTTTAAGATTTAAATATTAATATGCGACGATGAGTGAAAAGGTCAATAAGAACAATAAAGATTGTTTGAATTTTTGGTTTGTAACGTGATCGAGCGTTTTGAAAGCATAATTAACGAACATTCTGAAATATTTCAAACATAAAAATAATTTAACTTTGTGCAGTATTTTGAAATAGGCAAGATGAAAATGGAAGCCTGCGATGATTCGAATATTAATTCGATCAAATTGTTAGAGAAGGCATTTCTTCATGGGATGGACGATCAGAAGCGCCGATGGGCAGCTGTGGAAAAAAATGCTTCAAGGCTGATAAACGAATTAAAACATGATTTTCAGTTTACGGCTGAAAGTGAAGGACCGGAACATCGCCCCACATTTATCGTAAGTGTTAAAATCGATAATAAAGAATTTATGGGTTGAGGTCATTCTAAAAAAATGGCAAAACATGCAGTTGCGGAGAATGCATTAGCCGCTTTCAGTTATGTTCATAATTTGACAGATATTCCTAACAAGAACGTCAACTTTAACCAAGTTTGACTTCTCCAAAGCCAAATAGATAAGATGTCCATTGAATATTTTGAGGAAATGGATGTCGTAATAAACGTTGATTCGGAAAAGAAAGATTTTGTTGTGCTATTAAAAGAACTTCATATGGATTTAAAATTTAATTTAAAAGAAGAAAAGGAATCGGTTCTTTTTGAGAGGGTCACGATGAGCATTGAAATTGCTGACATGATATTTGAAAGCTCTGGTCGAAGCAAAAAATTAGCCAAAGTTGCAGCTGCCAGGTTGGCTTTGNAACATCTTCCACTAGCTCAAAAGCAGTCTGGGATAAAATTCATAAAATCAATGGGAAATATGCTTCTCACTCTCTGTCCATGCTGGAAAATAATGTCACACCCCTCGATGTGGGTTCCTGTCTGTGGTGAGGGGACCTTTCAGAGATGGTTTACAAACTCCTCTTTACCATCCCTGGGATCTGAACGCCCACCCACGTGTTTGCCATGCGTGGTGTCCTGTATTCTGGAAAGGGGGATCCTGGTAGTTGAGGGGCAACATAACATCCCCAACACACTACTTTGGCCCCTGCTTCGGATAAACGGGAGGCTCAAATCAGGCTCTGTTTGAGTCAATCGGCTGGTCGTTGAGTCATCCTTGACCTCGGCTTGGAGTCAACTGATCGATGCAGACCGGGTGGACACGTCAGACAAGATGTGCTCTTCTTGACTGCATTGTGAGGGTATAGCTCCTGGGAAACTCTGGTGTGACGGTCTATGGGACTCTCCCATGTGACGGCATCCCCTTGTTGGGCCCCGTGGTGGGTGGGGTCACTAGGAGCTGAATAATTATCTCTAAATATGGATTCATTAAAGAACAAACAAACAAGTACTAATGCTTCATCAAAGGAGGTTAGTTCCAACCAACCATCATATCTCATCGTGCATGCCACAGGAGAAACTCCTTTATCTAAACGTTCCCCGTTTTTGATTCAAAAACTCTTTGAATCGACCATTGGGCATCTTAAAAAAATCCAAAAGTTAAGGTCAGGAGATCTGCTAGTAGAAGCAGCCTCTCCTCAACAGTCAGAAAAACTATTAAAAATGAAATCTCTAGGAGACATACGAGTCACCATCGCACCACAGACAAGTTTGAACTCATCACGTGGTGTGATATCTGAAATCGATTTGATGTCTGAGTACGAATCCGATATTCAGATCGGCCTCTCAGACCAAGGTGTCACTGCTGTCCGACGAATTTCAATCCATCGAGATGGCAAGTTGATACCAACTAAACATTTTATTTTCACCTTTGGAAAACCGTCATTGCCATTTTTTGTTACAGCAGGCTATTTGCGCTGTTCAGTTCGCCCATATATTCCAAACCCGCTGCGTTGCTTTAAATGCCAGCGGTTTGGACACACACAAACATCCTGCCGAGGTAAAAGCCTATGTGCACAGTGTGGAATTGAAGGACACCAGAGTTCTGAGTGCACCAGTACTCCACGCTGTTTAAACTGCAACGATGCCCATTTTGCCTACTCTCGGAAATGCTCTGCATGGCAGAGAGAGAGAGATTCAGCGGGTGAAAACTGTAAACAATCTATCTTATCCAGAGGCTCGACGCATGGTCAACCCAAGTGCTTCTTTAAAACAGAAGACTTTTGCAGCTGCTTTGAAGTCTACAAAGGCAATTGGGGTTCAAACATATTTCTGTTGCCCCAAATGAATCTCTCACACGCCATGCAAAATGTTTACTTATACCATCCACCCAAACACCAGAAAAGAAGAATATAAAACTGAAAACACCCCTACCTAAAACAGGGGTAATTACAAGAAACCTGGGTTCCAAAAAGGCAAGTAAGAACCCGTTAAACAAACAGAGTGAAAGCTGCTCTTTCTAAATCTAAAAAATCAGAGACTCAATCTATGAGTGAGTTTTCTGACTTTTCGGAAGAAGAGACACACAAGGAGGTTACAAAAGAAATGTCACCTCCAAAAGAGAAACCCCCTATTAAATTAAAGAGGGATACCCGTGCAAAGAATGCTGCCTCAAACACATAATGGATTATAAAATAATCCAATGGAACTGTCGTTGTTTACGCAACAACTTCTCTGACATTATACACTTGACGTCATCTACCTCGTCTCTCTGTGTGGCACTCCAAGAGACTCATCTAAAACCTGGAAAAAATATTTTTTTAAAAGGATTTGATCTTTACTGCAAGGATGATGATAGCCACAACCGTGCTAGTGGAGGTGTGGCTATTGTAGTTTCAAATCACATCCCATCCTTGCCGGTACAAATCACCACTAACTTGCAAGCCGTGGCAGCTAGAATATGTATTGGAGTAACTGTCACAGTTTGTTCTATATACTTGCCACCAGATGTCAGAGTGAATGAGAATGAATTGGATACTTTGGTTGAACAGCTACCAACACCATTTCTTTTACTGGGTGACTTCAATGGTCACAATCCTATGCGGGGCAGTCCCGACATCAATCGTCGAGGCAGAGCCATCGAGAGATTTACAGGTAATCACCAACTGTACCTATTTAATACTGGAGAAGTGACGTACTTCCATGCCCAATCAAGAACGTTCACTGCCATTGATCTATCATTAGCAACTTTGAATCTGTTCTCAGCATTTACATGGGAGGTTGGATCTAATCCACTCTCTAGTGACCACTTCCCAATATTTATAAAATATCGAGGCAGAGAAAGCTGTGAAACAGCTTGTCCATTATGCTGGAAACTGGAAACGGCAGATTGGCCTGCATTCTCCTCTTTGGCTGAAATCACTGAGGAAATGGTCAATACTGCTGATATCAATGACAAAGTTGAAGTCGTCACTTCTAGTATTATACAGGCAGCTGAAAAAACAATGGGGAAAACATCAACCAGATATCCAAAGCATCCGAAACCATGGTGGAACCAGAATTGCGAGGCAGCATTTAAAGCACAAAAGAAAGCATGGGGGATTTTCAGAAGATACCCCACTGCTAGTAATTTCACTGCTTTTAAAAAGACAAATGCCAGAAGAGTTAGAAGGCAAAGCCAAAGGGATTCTTGGAGGAAGTATGTTTCTAGTATAACATCATCTACTAGCACAAAAGCAGTCTGGGGCAAAATCCACAAAATTAATGGGAAATTACTTCTCATTCTCTGTCCATGCTAGAAAAGAATGGCACAATAGTCAGCGATTATACAGGGTATTGCTGATTTGTTGGGAGAAACGTTTTCGTCTTCATCCAGTAATATTACGTATCCAAGAAATTTTCAGGCTTATAAAGCCCAAAGTGAAAAACAATATTTAAATTTTCATTCTTCATCTAATGAGGAATATAATGTGCCATTCACTAGAATTGAATTACATACAGCAGTCTCTTGCTCGGGGAATAGTGCTGTAGGTCCAGATATAATCCACTACAGCATGATTAAAAATCTGTCAAACAATTCCCTTTCTAATCTCCTGTGTCTGTTTAACAGAATATGGACAGAACATACTTTTCCTGACTCTTGAAGGCTATCGATCATTATTCCCATTCTGAAGCCTGGTAAAGACCACAAGAATCCCTCAAATTACAGACCAATCTCTCTGACAAGTTGCCTGTGTAAACTCTTTGAGAGGATGGTAAACAGATGTCTGATGTATTTCTTAGAGAAAAATGAATACTTTTAACCACATCAAAGTGGTTTTCGTAGGAACAGAAGTACCACTGATAACTTAGTAAACCTTGAAACAAGTATACGCGAAGCATTTGTTAGACGACAGCACTTAGTGTCTGTGTTTTTTGATATAGAGAAGGCGTATGATCGCTGTTGGTGATATGGGATACTCCGTGACCTGGACCATTGCGGATTGCGGGGAAATTTGTTAATTTTCATAAAAAACTTCTTAGAGAATCGAAGATTCCAAGTTAGGATGGGCAACACTTTATCTAGGCCTTTCACGCAACAAGGTGTTCCTCAAGGTTCTATTTTGAGTGTGACTCTGTTCCTAATTAAAATTAATAGCATAGCTAACTGTCTTCTTCCTAGTGTGAAACACTCTTTGTATGTGGATGACTTTCAGATCTCCTGCCAGTCTAGCAACATGAGTTCTATCGAGAGACAACTACAAACCTCCTTAAATCACATAGATCATTGGTCCAAGACTAATGGTTTTAGTTTTAACACGGAAAAGACCTCGTGCATGCACTTTTGTCGAAGGCGTGGTTTGCATTTGGATCCGGAAATTTACCTAAACGGGGATAAAATTTCAATAATGAATGAGACTAAGTTTTTGGGTGTTTCTTTCGACTAAAAACTGACATTTTTTGCCACACTTGCGCAACCTGAAGAGTAGATGTTTAAAATCTTTAAACCTTTTAAAGGTACTATGCTGCTCATCCTGGGGAGCAGACATATTTCTATGCTCAGGATTTCTAGGGCTTTGTCTGCTCTAAGCTGGACTACGGTTGCATTGTTTATGGCTCTGCACGAGAATCTACTTTTTGGATGCTGGATCTAATCCACCATCAAGCACTGCGTTTGTGCACTGGTGCTTTTCGAACTTCTCCTGTCCAAAGTCTGTATGTGAATGTTTATGAGCCTCCACTATCTCTCAGGAGAGAACAGTTGTCTCTTTTTTATTACATTAAACAAAAATCTCAGAAAAAACTTACAGCTGATTGTGCAGATACTCAGCTGAAAAGATTATTTGTTGCTCGGATGAGTTGTGTCTTTACATTCGACATAAGAATGGAGAATGTAAGCAGCACGATTGACCTAGACACAAGCAACATTTCACATGTTGAGGTTCATAGTATTCTACCTTGGTCAACTTCATTGATTGATGTTGATTTAAGCTTAAAGCAGTTCCCTAAAGAAACCACACCAGACTACGTCTATAGACAGCACTTTGCAGAAATTCAGCATCGTAACAGGAATTTTATCCATATATACACCGATGGATCTAAATCAGATAACTATGTTGGCTTAGCCTTTGTTTGTTAGGATGAAATTGTGGCAGAACAAATAGCATTGAATTCTTCCATTTTTTCTGCGGAGTTGCAGGCTATTTATTTAGCCCTAAAGTATATAAATTGGAAAGGTCATCGTTGCTGCGTGATTTACACTGACTCAGTTAGTGCACTTCAGGATTTGATTTCGTATGAACGTAGTTCTCACTCCATAGTTATTAAAATTTGAAAACTAATTTGTCATCTCATAACGAGGAATTTTTTTGTGAAGTTCTATTGGGTCCCAGGCCACGTGGGTATAAGAGGTAATGAAGAAGCTGATACAGCCGCTAAGTCAGCAAGCCCTCCACAGCATACAATGCGTATTGAAGGAGGTGATTTGAAGCTAGTCGTTAAAAAACAACAAGCAGAGAGATGGCAAATCATGTGGAATGCACAAATTTACAAAAAACTTCATATCAAACCTTTGGTAGAAAATTGGACACATAATAGGCAATATGATGGGAGATCTGAGGTTATCCTTACTCGTTTGAGAATTGGACACACTTGACTGACTTATCAATACCTTTTGAGGGAAGATGACGAACCAGTATGTCAGCACTGCAACTGTGCTGTAAGTGTTAAACACATTTTGCAACTGTGTTGCTTCTGATCAGAGTCGTAGACAGCATTTCGGAAATGCAAGCCTTAGAGACATTTTGGGCCAGAGGTTAAATCTGGATAATATACTGGACTTTCTAAAAGTCATTAATATGTATAGGGAAATCTGATGATTTATTTATTGTACAGTTTTATTCACTTTGAGTTGCATATCTAAATTATTGTATATATTTTTTGTTGTTGTTTGTTTACTCATTTTTGTTGTTGTTTGTTTATTTATTTTTTTATTATATTCTAGATTTTATATTTATATTATCATTGGCTTTTTAATTGTTAAACTGTGATGTTTAGTTTATGTGTATATATGTTCCTTTATTTATTTTCTACCCTCAATTGTACCATGTGTCGTGGCGCAGTATAGTTTGCATGGCTTTTGTGGCAATAAAAATTAACCAACCAACCTTTTTGTTTGCTGCTACAAAGCTCACATCTCTCGTTGCTAACAGAAGCTCTCCTTGATCTTCTTTGCTTGAGGTATGGGATTTATAATGTGAGGTGATGTCACAATTCTGACCGAGTCCACTGCTTTCATTTACATACTCATCCCTAACATTGAACTTTTCCTGTTTGCCTGGCAGTCTATTTTCCGACAATACTTGCTAACCTTTTACATTGTTCTTTTTGACAATTTTTAGGATGTTTTATTCGTTAAGGTTTTGCAAGTTCCTAAGTTGTGCTTGTGGGGTTTCCCCCCCTCTTGGTGCAGACTTACTTTTTTTCGCTTGGGAGTACAAGTATGTGCGAGTTTTTTTTTTCTATGGGGCTTTTTCTTGGTGAGTTGGTTTTTCTTTCTTCTGTTTTAAGTTTCTAAGGTGAGTGGTGAGGAAACCTTCATCCTAACAAAACATAAGCATCAAACAAAAATAGAATAAAAAGTATCGTAACAAAATAATGCTCAGACTTGGTTCCTTACGCTCTGTTCCTTATACTTGGTGATTTCAATGGCCACAATCCCATGTGGGGCAGTCTCGACATTAACTGTCGAAGCAGAGCCATTGAGAGATTTATCGGCAATCAGCAAATATATTTATTTAATACTGGAGAAGTGACATACTTCCATGCCTCAACAGGAACATTTACTGCCATTGATTTATCATTAGCGAGTCCAAACCTGTTTTCAGCATTTTCATGGGAGGTTGGATCTTATTTACTTTCTAGTAACCACTTCCGAATATTTCTAAAATATCGAGGCAGAGAAAGCTGCGAAACAGTTCGTCCACCACGCTGGAAAATTGAAACGGCATTCTTTTTTTTTGACTCACATAACTGAGGAAATGTCAATACTGCTGATATCAATGATGCAGTTGAAGTTGTCAATTCCAGTATTATTCAGGAAGCCGAAAAAACAAGGGAAAAAACATCAGTAATATATCCAAAACCATGGTGGGTTAAAAATTGCAAGGCAGCATTTAAAAAACAAAAGAAAGCATGGGGGATTTTTAGAAGATACCCCACTGCTAGTAATTTGATTGCTTTTCAAAAAGCAAAGACAAATTTCAGAAGAATAAGAAGGCAAAGCTAAAGGGATTCTTGGAGGAAGTATGTCTCTAGCATAACATCTTCCACCAGCTGAAAAGCAGTCTGGGATAAAATCCATAAAATTAATGGGAAGTATGCTTTTTATTCTCTGTCCATGCTGGAAAATAATGGCACAATAATCAGAGATATACAGGGTATTTATGATCTTTTGGGTGAAAATTTGTTTTTCATCCAGCATTATTATATACTCAAGGAATTTTCAGGTTTATAAAGCCCAAACTGAAAATAGTATTTAAACTTTCACTCCTCGTGTAATGTATGTATGTTTGTCTGTCTGTCTGTCTGTCCGTTTTTCATACGTTACTATTCCATTTATCCGATTGCCACGAAACTTTGGTAAGTTGTTTAATACACTTTCATGAAGGTTTCTGGCATAGTACATTTATCCTACGGTAGACAGCGCGTGTGTATACAAGCATTTCAGCAGTTAGGAGTTGAAACTTGAAATTTGGTACACGGTTAATCTGGATGTGGCAAGGAAAAGCGGTGTCACAAACACACCTTTGTTGCACGGCGATAATCTGCTTACATTTCGGCACATGTTTTCAGTATTCAAGATGGTGAACGATATCGATATTGTCGCTGTCCACGTGCTTACAAATTTTGTTTTGTACAGTTAGCTTTATTTAGAAGATTTTGGATTAGAGATATTTTTTTTGGATTGATAAAGAATACTATTTTGAGTAAGATTCGGTTTTGTTATTTGAATTAACTTATATATGATTATTTGTGTAGAATGTGTGTTAAATTTATTATTTTTTACTTTTTATTCTGATGTTAGTTATCTCGGTTAACCGTGTTGAACTTTCTGCCATTAAAACATCATGTGATTGTTTTAATAAAAAGTAAAATACATCTGGATACAAGTCCAATTTTGCTTGCCATGTCCAATTACCAGGAACAACTATTTCCATTGCAGAGAAAACCTTTTTTAGAGGCTTTAGAGGCTTTTTCTGGTGATTGGACATGGCAAGCAAAATTGGACTCGTATTCAGATGTATTTTACTTTTTATTA